CAAGTTGCCAAATCGCGTCGCGACTGAAATCACGTGAGGTATGCTAGGCCCAAAGCAGCTATTTTTGGCTTTTTGTTTGTGATAAATACTCGGACTATGTTGGTAGCGATTTTTTTGGCCTAGGTAAAACAGCAATAGCTTTGGCAATGGCTCAGGAGCTTGGAGATAAAGTGCCTTTCTGCCCAATTGTTGCCTCGGAAGTCTACTCAAGCGAAGTGAAAAAAACTGAAGTGCTTATGGAAAATTTTAGAAGAGCAATAGGTAATTTCTTTGCAACTTTGCCAAGTATCGACTATCGTTTGCTTCAGGACTGCGTGTCAAGGAGAAGAAAGAAGTTTACGAAGGTGAAGTAACGGAGCTTTCTCCCGTTGAGACGGCAAATCCACTCGGCGGTTACGGTAAGTTAGAACTTTACTCATATCACTATGTCGCTTCGTCAAGTCTCGATATCAAGTCCAGTTAAAATCACTTTCAGGTAAAACTATCTCACACGTGGTTGTCTCATTGAAAACAGCCAAAGGTAGCAAGCAACTCAAGCTTGACCCTAGCATCTATGATACTATTCTCAAGCAAAGGATAGAAATAGGAGACGTGATATATATCGAAGCTAACAGTGGCGCAGTGAAGGTTTGAAGTTGAAAAAAAAGAACATTTCAATAGTCGAACTTTATCATTTCAAGCGACTGGGACGCTGTGATGTTTACGCCTCAGAATTTGACCTTGAAGCAGATGAATTTGTTCCTTTACCCAAAGGTGATGTGCATAAGACTAAGGAGTTAGTACAGGTAAGCAACGTTGTGCTCTATGCTCTCAATTCCGATTCATGTGTGCCTTATATCAGTTTTTCCTAGTCACGTTCTCTGCCTTTTTGTATCATCGGCTCTCAGGTGTGTAGAGGCGGAGCAATGCGGACTTTGGTAACCTAAATCGTGTTTTGTACCAAAAACTCATGCTCTGAGCAGCCACTTCTCCGCTTCTATCTTAGTCTGGGAGTCGATCCCTTGCGAGTCCTCATAAGTTCTGACAGCAGATGGTCTTAGTCGTTGAAAGCTATTCTAGATTCATGGTACATGCATGAGGCGCAAAGTGCGCTTCTTAATAGCTGTCGGGCAATCCCTCAGTTGAACGTTTGCTCAGTCGATTTGCGACTA